GAATTAAGAGCTGAAAAGACATGCTGTTGTCATCAGCAGCAGAAAGAGGTGTTGCAGCATCTGGATGTGTGCAATCACAATGACTATCCTAACAGAAAGAAGAAATAGTTTAGAAAAAAGCAATAGAAGAATTTCCAAATAGCTTGGAAGAAGATATTGAAAACCCCAGTATAAGAAAATGCCTGGATAATGTTATCTTGGTGTAGAAAAGAGCTATTTGACTGAAAAGGTCACTGTGTGGGTTCCAGTCCTGATTCACACAGCCTTAGGAAGCCTGTTTCTCCCTCTGGGCCTCCGTTTCCCCATTTGGCAGGTGAACCCCTCCTTTCGGTTCCGTGTTGCTTCCATCTCAGACTGTGAATGTGAGGTGGGGTCTTCTCCCAAGCATTCATCTTGGTGCCCTTGTTGAGCCTGTGGGTCTATTATAGAGGCCTCCTAGTCTAGGGCAAAGCAACAGCAAATTGGCTGGGGGCAGAGAGCTGTGAAGAGCCTGGTTTACTCGTGGCTCTGTCTCTTCCTCATGACATGTTTTCTTTCTTCTATTATCTTAAAACCATGCAGATGGCTGTCTATTCTACTTTGACTTATTTAAACAACTCTACCCTTTCAGGTTTATAAAAACTCAGGTTTATAATTGCTTTAAGCCAGAAAAATCCTCTAGTGGGCATACCCTTAATGAGATTTTCTAAAGAGTGACGGCTATGAAGAGCCGGAATTCATTGATGACTCGCACAGCAATGATAACAAAGATAACTCAGCAAAGTCAATGATAAGATGATGAAGTTTGTGAGAACTGAGCATAAGCCACACTAAATATGTATACATGTGTATGTGTGTACACAGAGAAACACATATAAACACATACACATGAAATATGTCTCTCTCGCGTTCTGAGGACATATGTTCACAGTAGAGGATGACTGGGGAGGCAGAAGAGCACAGCATTAGCAACATGGGCTCTCAAGTCTCAGGCTTCATGGGCGTGAATCCCCACTCCTGTGTGACGTGGGGCAAGTAATGTACCTTCTCACTCACCTTCATTCTCTTCCTCTACAAAGTAGAGACCACAATTTTATGTGGCTGTGAGTGGTAAACTGCAACACAGTAGTAAGGATTTGAGGAAAGGGTCATGTGTCCTGGCAGACATTTAGCAGTCTCTTCTAGTTCTAAAATTATAGGGGATTCTTTATTTTGAGGCTGAGCTGAATGTATAGTGTGGAAGAATATTAAAATTTGAAACTCTTTAAGCCAAGCAACTTTGCACAGTTATTTTTGTTATCATTACAAGGTTACAAATTCTGTTGTTTCTTGAACAGATTGTTAATCTAGTGAATCTGTAAAAATATTCAAATATATGGAAATATAAACTGATAGCATTTCTATACTACCCTATTTCAACCATCAGTCTTTGTGGTATCTCTATGAAGTCTGGTTCAGCAAGGGGCTCAACACTCATATTCACTATTACCTACTAACAAGAGAGACTTGGGGGCTTCTCAGACATTACAGATTTTGTATTTCTTCCCTAACACGCTGACATCTGAGAGAGTGTGTCAAAAAGGATCATCCAGAATGTGAGTCATGAAAGTCAACGGGCAGAAGACAGCTTGGAAAACTGTCCCTGGAGCCCTTGGCTGCAAGTCAAGGACTCTGACGCCTGACCTCAGCTGCAGCACGGTCTAAGAGAAAACAAGAGAGGCCTTGATGGGGAGCTGACTGCCAGGCCACTGGGAACACACAAGCTCTCTGTGATTTGGCACAAAGAACCTTGGTAAATAATAATAACGACAACGATAATGGCAGCTAACTTTTATCCTGTGTTTACTATGTGCCAGAAACTGTTCTAAGGGTTTTCTCCAATAAGGCTGGTACTAATAACATCACCTCCATTTACAGATGAGGAAACAGGGGCAATGAATAGAAGTAATATGCCCAAGGTCATACAGCCAGTCAGTGGGAGAGTGTAGTCTGAATCCACACAGAGGCTGGACTCTTAGCTATTACCCTAACTGCTTTACTCAGAAGTGATTTGGGATTACTAAATAATTACAAAGCATTTCCTTATGCTTTTAAAAAATTCAAAATAAGTTAAAGGATTTGTGCTGTGTTTTAGCCTATTATCTTGATTACTCAATTTGTTTATGTCCTCACTATTTTTTATTCTATACAAGTATTTTAAATTAATTTCTTCCCTGAATTTGAATAAAGCATAATTAGAAAAGGCGAAGTATTACAAGTTAAGAGATTCCTTTCTATCCTTGGCTTTGCCATAAAATTGTGTGAATTTGGTTTAGGCCTCAGTCTCCTCATGTTTATTAGAGGGTTCCTTCTTTAACTAAAATAGCTCAGCGCATGTAAAATGTCATTCTGTGAACTTAAGACACACTGCCTGTCGAGTGCAGATGGCTGGGGCAGGTTGCCAAGGGGCTAGTTTCTCCATCCTGGCTTTAGTGACTGCATGCTGCAGCCCCTCCCTCCATGTCTTGGCTATGTACCAGTCTAAGATGTCACAGAGAATGCTTGAGTTGGCCAGGACCCAGTATGATATTTAGAAAGAAGAAAATAAAAGCTTAAGGATGATCAAGTTCTCTTAACTAATATTAAACAAAAGCATGCTATGCTCTTTCTAATTCCCTCTGAAAGCACTTCTCATGTTTGCAAAGAGAATGACAGGATGAATGTGTCAGCCCATCACACTTCTCGACGTGATGTGTGGGCTGGTAGTTCCATGCAAATTCATGGAGACCATAAAAAAGATTAATAAATTACTTTGTAACTTTCCACCCAAAACGGAAGGTTTTTTCCCCCAAATTATTTATTCATTTGCATATTCAAAATTACTTGTTAAAAGGGCTACCTGACATAAGGAACTTGAAGGGACAAATGCTCAATCTGTTATAAGATTTAAAACAAATTTTTAGAGGCCTATGAACTTCTGCAATCCCATTTTTTAAATATCCAAGCATTAGTCTCCTTAGTAACAATCGAGGTGTGTATTAAATGCTAAAGATTTATTAAATAGAGTTGAAAACTGACTTGTTAGTTGTTCCTCTAAGAATCTCAACTCCTGCCTCTATCCCTCTCCTCCCCTCTGCAATGCAACCATGCCTTCAAATAGCATTCTTTAAAAGCAGGCTTTATGGCTTTGGAGGAATAAGCTGATTTCACAGCCAGCTTTGCCACTGCTGTGGAAAACAGAGTGCACATGCAAGCCAGCTGCAGTCACACGAACTGCAAGGACTGGGGCTGCGGGGCCTCCACTACTGCTGTCAAATTGCAATTGGAAACAGCTTTTCCAAAGTACAGCATGAGAAATCAGGAATTCCTGTCCACAGCTCCCCAACTCACTGGGTTTTTAATCAGGCCTGGCACAACCCATTAGAGATTAGAAATACAAAAATTGTGATGAAACTAAACAAGAGTATCTTCTGGTTTCCAAGTTTTGTTCTTCCTGGATCCCTTCCAGGCCTGTAACTATTGTCACTCAACAGTCAATAATGAACAGTTTCTGCCTAGGGATAGGAGCTCCAGGAAGGCTTGACCCAAAGGCACGACAGGTTCAGGTCAGCGCCCTCCTTCACCCCAACCCCTGGATGTGCAGATTATCTAAACACTCAAATTCCTAAACTTATCTCAGTTCTTTCAACTTTATTCGTCACTTAAGAGATAAAATAACTTTTGCAGAGATCATAGAAAAACTATTTAGAACATTAATGAACCAGAGACATTCAATGAAAGTTTTCTTCTTGGCACTCCAACTTTAAGGGAGAGTCCACTCTCAAGAAAACTAGCTCGAGTCAGTAATTTTGTTTAAAAAAACAGAACAACTTTCAGGATTTGTTTTGAGATTAATCTAAATGTAGTCCAATTTCCTATATCTCTGTCTAGATCTAGAAGGTAAGAGATGGTAGAAAACCCAGAGGTCAATTATTGAAACGTCCCTTTCATTTGTCAGCTCTTCAGCGATCTTTGAGACACATTTACTAAAGTAGGAAAATGAATTAATCAGAGAATTGATCAAAAAATGAGCTTATCAAATAAATTACCATATACCTGTTATATACAAGTCACTCATTCTGATGATGATATAATGCTGTGTTAGACATGGATGGTAACACCTGAAAATGGGCCAGCTGTAACTTTCACATTGAAAGATCCTTAATTAAAACTCCCTTAGATGTACGATTTCCATACAAAGGTGCTATGATCTGATTTTTTTTTACTTGTTTTAAAGGCTCAAGTCAAATTCCGTCTACTCAATGAAACTGTCCCTGGTCCCCTTGAGTCAATTAATTTCTCTTTTATCTTTTTTTCCATAGCAAGTTTCTGCGATCTCTCTTTAGCACAGCACATTCTGTACAACAGAGGTAGTTGCAAGTAGGTGAATATAGATGGTGGACTGTTTCCCCAAAGGTAGTGATTTTCTTATTCGTTTCTTATTCATTTCTGCAGCCCTCCCCTCCCCTGTTCTGGAATTAAAGCCCAGAAATGAAGTCAAAACAACACAAAAATGTCTAAAATGTATTATTGATTTGTTATTTTTTAGGGAAGAAGTTTTCAGGAAAAAAGTATTGGCAAATGATGGACAATATTTCCGAGTAGGAGAAAGGTCAGAGGAAGAGCACTATGTACAAATTGGATGCTCAGCAAAGGTAAACATAAGGCTTTGAAATATTACTCAGCTGTCACCAATATGCTTATCCCAAACTAGAGCAAATTTAGACTCATTAGGACACTCTTTAAAAAGCAGCAATTTTTGGATAAAAATTTCTTAAAAATAACTTGTCCTCTAATAAAAGCAATTTCATAAAAGCACCTTAGAGATCCACTTAATGAAAAATCTAATTACATTTTAGAGAAATTTTTATCAATAATGATCAAACCAAGGAAAAAAAGAATTCTGGTTAACCATAAATTAACTAGAATGTTCCATAGTCTGGGCTCACCTTCAAGCTGGCAATGATGTCTTGTTAAGGCAGTAAGACTTGGACAGCTCTTACCTTCAAGAACATACATCTTATGAGCATCTTCAGGATGAAGTAACTCCAGTAAAGGTGAAGGATTTGCAGGACCATGAGCTGGAGGTTGAGGAAGATGTATGAAAAGAAAGGCTCGAGGTAGTGCATAGGCAGAATCAGCGTGCAATATAAAATCCTGGAAAACCAAACGGAGGGGAGTATTTCCTTACAGCCAAAGTACTTGTGAATTTTCAGCGAGAAAACAAATACTTTTTTCTCCCAAGGCATACAACATTTATTTCATTTCTAATGATGTTCAGGAAATTCTCAAGAGAAAACAATATGATAATATTGCCTTTTATGTCATTATTGGCACGTCACAAAAAAATACAGTCTGCCTCCTGGGAGAAAAGTTAAAGCAAATGGAATTTTTATTGCCACACTGCCTGCACTGTAATGTCTCTGTACCTCGGTTTCCTCTTTGCAAACAGAAGAGCGTACACTAACACTACACATCCACCCAGGGGGAGGCAGTGGAGATGTGCAGAACAAATGAGATAACACATGTTTACACGCTGTTATTATTGCCTTAAGACACAATTTCATTTACTTGGCATCAAAGGCGAATGGGGAATTCTACAAAAATAAAATTTCCAGATAAAAGAGGCTTTTAAAGAAGCAAAAATTCCATTATTACTCCCACTTCCACTTATAAAGTGAATTGCATACTTTACTAATTTCCTAAACAGACTCCTGGACACAATCTGAACTGCTCTCGATGACTCAGGATGCACAGTGCCTTCAGATACTATTGCAGTATGAAGGGCTATCTGTTCCCTTCCCAAACTTCATACACTACTATAATTTTAGAGTTCTTGGATAGGTCTGTGTATAAGTATATTATTCCAATTACAAAAATAATTTATTCATATAAAATTTGAAAAATAAGGAAAAGAAAGAAAATTGTCCATCATACCGTCACTTTAAACAAATAATATTGTAACTTTTGTGTATTTTCTTCGTTTTTTCCTATACACATTTATTTTGATTTTATTTTTTAAATTAACATATAGTAAAATTGACTTTTTTAGGAAAAAGTATAATTTCTATGAAGTGGTTGAACATTTTCTACAATCAGTGCAACTAATTGGGATATTTGATCCATTTCTCTGCCCATTCTTCCATTTGCCAGTAACTACAAAATAAAGTTTTATTTTACTGGTTTTTCAAAGAAAAAAAATTGTTTCCTCTACAGCTTTATGAATTACAATACATGTATAGGTTTGTGTAACCACTACCACCATTGGGATACAGAAGAGTTCCATCATCCCAAAAAACCCCCTTGCACTATCCGTTTATAGTCACACCCTCCCCCACGCCTAACACTTGGCAACCACTTACCTGCTCTCCATTCCTTTAATTTTGTCTTTTCAAGAAGGACACATAGGGCCGGCCCCGTGGCTTAGCGGTTAAGTGCGCGCGCTCCACCACTGGTGGCCCAGGGTGCGGATCCCCCGTGTGCACTGATGTGCCGCTTCTTCGGCCATGCTGAGGCTGCGTCCCACATACAGCAACTAGAAGGATGTGCAACTATGACATACAACTATCTACTGGGGCTTTGGGGAAAAAAAGGAGGAGGATTGGCAATAGATATTAGCTCAGAGCCAGTCTTCCTCAGCAAAAAGAGGAGGATGAGAGTGGATATTAGCTCAGGGCTGATCTTCCTCACCAAAAAAAAAGAAGGACATATAAATGGAACCATAGCGTGTGTCAGCTTTTGAGACTGCCTTCCTTCATTCAGCATAGCGCCTTTGAGATTCACCAAGTTGTTGTGGGTATTAATAGCATGCTCCTTTTTATCACTGAGTGGTATTCCATCGTACAGATGTACCTCAGTTTATCTATTCACCCACTGAAGAGCATTTGGGCTGTTTCCAGGTTTTGACATTTATAAATAGAACTGCTATAAACGTTCATGTACAGGTTTTTGTGTGAACATAAGTTTTCACTTCTCAAGGGTAAAGGCATGGGGTGGAACTGTTGCTTATCAAGTGGTAAGCATACATTTAACTTTATGAGCAACTGAAAACCTGTTTTCCAGAGTAGCTGTATTGCATTCCCACCAACTTGGCCTTGCCCTATAGAGATTTGTGCCACTGTAGTAAAAGCAGCACTTGTGGGATTTTATGTTCCATTCTATTTAGCTTTAAATCAAAAACATTTTACACCGCTTGGACAATTTGGTGTATACAGTCTTTCCCCAATTGAAGGTTACTTCTTTAGAAGTGTATATTCCTAAATATGATATTATTGTTTCAAGCTGTACATTAAAAGTATATAAATTCAAGGTGTATATTAAAAGCTATTAAAACTTTGCCAAATTATTTTCCAAAATTATAACAATTTATAAGGCCACAAGCAATTTATGAAAGAAGTATTTCATTGAATCTCCAACCAGTATCAGGTAGCTTTAAAATCTGCTAATTTAAAAAACAAAATAATTTCAAATTGCATTATTTGCAGTGCTTTGACAGGCCCTATGTCTGCTTAGTTGCTGTATTTCCTTTTTTGTGCGTTATCACTCAAGATTTTTGTCTATTCAAAAAACAATTATATAAACTCTGAACTCTGGCCATTATCCATTTTACTTATGCAAATATTTTTTAGAAACTTTGGAATTACAGAAAAATATAAAGAGGTTAAATAAAAATCACCTAAAATCTCACAACTCACGGGAAACCCAGTACATTTTGGTGAACATAATTCAAGACCTCTCTCCTAAAATACATTCTTTAAGGTCTTTTTTTTTTTTTTGTCCATTCCCCATCACATGATTTTATATAACAGGGATCACACTAAGCTTGTGATTTTGTACCCTGCTTTTTTCACTCAATAATGTGTTACAGAGAGCTTTCCATGTCAATGAACATATCTATATAGCAGGAGTCAGCAAACTTTTTTGTAAAGGGACAGATGGTACATATTTCAAGCCTCTGGGCCATTCAGTCTCTATTGCAACAACTCCACTCTGCCTTGTAGTGTGAAAGCAGCCATAGACAATACATCAATTGATGGGTATGGCTGTGTGCCAATAAAACTTTATTAACGCAAACAGTCAGTGGGCTGGATTTGGCCTGTGAGTCATAGTTGGCCAACCCCTACCATATACCATCCCAATAGCTGCACAGAAATTCATTTTATAGATATCATAACTTATTTACCTAATCCCTTATTGATAGACATTTGTTTCCCAAATTTTCATTACATTATAAAGAACACTCTGAGAATTACTTGTAAAAACATTTTGATAGAATCATTTGATTATTTCCTGAGAATAGCTAAAATCCTGAATCAAAGAGTATACTTATTTTTCATTTTGGAGCAATATACGAAACTGCTTTCCAGCAAGACTGTACTAGTTCATTGTCTTGCAGCCAGTGTACAAGAACACTTGCTCCTCAGATCTTGACCAACATTATATTTTCTAAGTCTCTATCTAAAACATTGCACTGCTGATATTTACATTTTTATTTCTTATGAAGTTAATATATATAGAATTGGTTATTTTGATTTATACTTTGTGAACTGCTTGTTCACGGTATCTGTGCATTTTTCTATTGAGGTGTTTACTTTTATTATTGCCTCACAAGTGCTCTTTATATATTAAGGATTTGAACATAATTTTTTATCATGTTAAACATCATCACATAGTCTGATACAACCTTGTTTATGATTCTTTTCGGCAAATCAATTTTTAAAATATTTTTGTAATCAAATTTATCAATTGTTTCTTTTATATCTAGCTTATATGTTATGCTTTAAAAGACATTTCTCACCCCCATTATTATAAAACATATTTCCCTAAAGTCCTGGCTCTATGTAGCCTTGAGTCACTTCTTTGTGCATTTTCTGAATTGTAAAATGAAAGCGATGAGTATTCATTAAATAAACATTTATTGAGCACCTACCAAAGTGCTACCTGGCACTTCACAGGAGCCAGGAATATAGCAATGAATAAAATGGACCAAAATCCCTGAACTAGCTTACATTTTGGTGCCCAGGGATTAAGGGAAATAATATATGTAAAGCCTATTTGCCATTCGGATTTGCTGAGTCTTCAAGCAATTGTGTGCCGTATTCTGTACTCTCTCAGCCTAGAATGCTCGCCCCTTTTTCAGTTGAAACTTTTTTCATCCGTCAAAGCGTGGGCTCTCTGCAGCAAAAGTCTCCATGCTACTCTGATCACCTCTGAATTTATAACTTTCCTCTAGGCTCCCCACTACCAACTTCTTTAGAGCATTTGGCCTGATTTCAACCTCCCTTGCGGTAATAGTTGCTTGTATGAGTTGATTCCTCACTAGCTGGCAAGCTTTCCAAAGGCAGAGGCCATGACGTCTTCAACTTCATCTCTGTATCCTCCCTTTACCTGGGCCAGGCCCTTGCCCCTTCCTCAGTCCCCTACTGGGAATTTGCCAAGGTCAAAATTAAGAAAGGAATCTACTTACAAATATCTCCTTTACTCATTCTACCAAAGAATATGGATAATTACCTAAACATGTAATTACTCATTGTGATCCATGCAAAGAAAGAAAGAAAAGGACAGGGACATATTGCAGAGTCCTTACTGAACTAATATTTCCCTGTTCCCTCTAGTTGAAGGGAAGACACAGAAAAGAGGCTTCCAGGTGGAGGGAACTACATGTATAAAGGCCCTCAGGTGGGAGGCATCATGGAAAATTCAAGGGCTAAGAGAAGACCAGTGTGGCTTAAGGGAGAGAAGTGACGGGGAAGAACGGTATAAGATGAAGCAGGAGAGGTGAATGGAGCCATCTCATGTTGGCCTTGCAAGTCAAGGTCAGGGGCATGGTTTTCACTGTAAGAGCTTTGGAAGGCTCTGCCGGTTAGAAAGGGGAGTGACAGACTTGGCCCAGAATCATCAGATCTGGGTTCCAGAGCTGAGGCCACTATTGTCTTGCCTCATAACCTGCACAAGTCTCTGAGCCTCACATTCCTTGGACAGGGTATAACTAACCCTACCCGTCTGACTGGGAGGCTCCAGGGGGACATACAGCTAGCTTTGCAAACTGTAGAGTCTTAGAAACGGAAGAGACTGGCATTAACATGCAAATGCCTTCAGAGAGAGCTCAGCCACTACAGAGAGGAGAGGTCAATGGCATGGGCTCTGGAGCCTGCTAG